CCCAAGCAGAATAAGCACAGGACACCCCCTCCCAAAAAATTGCCGTACCTGCCCATCATTCCTCTCTCTTCCATTTTATTTCCGTGCTATACAAAGACACCTGTCATAGCATTCTGTGTAAATTACTACCTCTCCCAGGACCTGTATCTACAGCCAATCTTCTTTTTACACTTTAAAAAAAAAAAAAAGGAAAAAAAAAACCAAAACCCGGAAACCAAATGACTACTGTAGACACTCTTAAGTTCCCTGTCAATCGTTTCATTATAGCAGCATCATCTGTTTGAAAATATAAGCAATTCCCTCATCTAATTATAGGGAGGATTTGAGGTTCATTAACATTGCCAAGGCAGAGAATCAGATGTGCAACTGCAGAGCTGTGCTCAGTGGCCTGCATTCTCTGTTTCCTTTTATTTGCTTTTTCAAGGTCTCCAAGACTTTTTCCTGAAACCATAAAAGTAATTCTTTCCTTCAAAATAGACACGTGTGTTTAGAAAAAGGAAATGACTGCATTTTGTACTGTTCTATTATTGGGCAAGGTCACTGGAGAAAAATAATTTCACCTAAATCATTTTATCTCTGATTCTGGATGAATAAAAAAGAATAATAGTATGCAAACAACCGTCACCTTTGAACAACAGATCACAGGAAACCTTGTGTTTGTCTCATAATTTTAAATGTTGTAAGGCAATGTGGATGAATAGGAAACCTAACATGCCAAGAAAACCTCTTAATTTTCAACACATTTTGTGGTTGTTTATGGATTAACGTGCTAGCCAAGTGTAAAATGTTGCCTTGTATTTCCTAACTGTGTTTAGAAACTGAGAACACCAAAGTCTTCATGATTGCTTCACTTCCTTAAAGAAATAATGGCATTTTTTTTTTTTTGTATGAATGTAGTTTAAACAATGACATTTTCTTGGGACATCTGTTTTGAGATCACATTTTGAATAGATATGAACTCATTTCCTACTAAGCAAGTAATTTACTATTGTTGATAGTTGTTTACAAGTTTTATGAGTCAGATTTTAGCAAGTGGCAAAGGTCTTTACAAATCCTTTGAGTATTCCCTAAAGTGTATGCATAGTGTTTTCATTATATAAAATGTTCGGGAAGCAAAAGTATAGGGACTGTTCTTCACTTCCTACCAAGTTATAGATAGCAAAGCCTAGCTCACAGCAATAGCTTTAAACATATTTATTTTCAAAGGCTTCTATCTTTTGCTGCTGCAGGTTAATGAAGTATGATAGCAGGGCAGCAAGTACTTAAGCAGCAAGGAAATAATTGAGCTGCTCTACCTATTTATAACTTTGGAGTATTAAACGGTAAATATACAACTGATCCTAATATCATCCTAAGATGTTAATATGACAAAGAGCAGAACCTCTTCAATGAAATTTAAAGTTTGACCTTGTCACTCTCTTTCTTTTAATTCTGCAATTAAATAAAAAAAAAAAAACCAACAGGCAGCATAATCTTTTCTTGTTTGCTGCCATATGGAATTCATTTTTTAAACAAAACCCCAATAATTTATCTATCCTGCATGTTGTATGTAGAATTGCCACTAAAAAGAACCCGGGACATTTTTCCTTCTTATCTGCAATGTAGCTCATATCAGCCAAGCTGTCACAAGACAGTACTTGATATAAACAAGAGATTGCAAAGACATCTCAGTAATCAATATTAGGATGGCTACAGTATGGAAGCCCCAACCACTGCATATCATTTGTCTCAGCATCTATTTCTATGACCAAATGAAGCATTAATTCAAATCATAAATCTATGGTGATTTAAATCTGGGAATGAGCACCTGCCTGCTTTAATGATTTATTTTGTACATTTCAGTAAGCAGAAGATTTGTCCATATGAACTGACAGGTCACCTTCAGATGCCAGTAGCAGACTGTTTATCACCATGCAGACTAGCATCTCATCTTAGCAAGTAAATATTAAACTAAAAGAATCCAATTGATTGTGGATGGGGGAGAAAGGCGTTGCAGCCATATATTTCACTCAGTGTGCTAATACCTCACTCTGATTCCTCTATAATTTCTTTTTTTTTCCCCTTTTTTTCCCCCTTCTAAAATGATAATTCCGGTGGGAGGATGCAAGCTCAAGGTTACCATACAAAACTGAGGGATATAAAATAATTACTTATTAGTATCATTGGCTTCTTTTAACTCCCTTCACTCACTAACCTTTTGGCCACTGCTTCAAAGGACCAAGTTAATAAATTTGTGTAGTGCTCTGTATAATTATACAACGTTCATCTACAAAAATGACTTCTATAATTCACCTTAAGCACCTGATTAAAACCAAAAAGCAAGACAATTCAGAAGTAAACCTGACAATTCAACACAAGAGCCCATATTTTGTTATCTTCTTTTACATAGGCATTGGAACAGCCTAAGAACACGGTATGATCAATCCATGTACACTAATGTACCATAATGCCTGTTACATATGGGCTAAGATATATCAGTTAAGCTTTTAGCCTGGTTGGTTAGTTGGTTTGTTTCTTTTCAGTTTGGTCAGGCACATACCGTAATTTAAACATAAACCAAAATCAGGTTATTTTCTTTTGTTTTATTCCTTCTTCCTGTCAACATTCAGTAACGTAATATTTCAAATTCATGCCTAAAAAGCCATAATTTAAAACATTAATGATATATGGACTTGATAATATTTATTTGAAAAGACATAAATAAACATCTGAAAAAAATGCAGGGGAAAAAAAGCACACACCTACTACAAAGCAACACCTTTGAAATATGAGTTCTTGTCAAGGTAATACAATATGCTAATTTTCAAAAATGCAACTAATAAATAGAGACTTAACTCTTAATGAACCTAATAATACCCTGGCATTAGTTGTAGTAGGATCACTTCTCTGTTTCCATAGGCATAACAGATACTGGACACTAGATAGGGCTCACTATAAAAGAAACAAATAAATGCAAACTATTTTTGAGTAAACCTCCGTAGGAAGAGTGTAGCTCAAACTGGATGCACAGACAAGCACACTGTATTTCCAGAACCATTCCTCATGGAATGGAGACAACTGGAATGCTATTCACTCTACTCAGAAGAGCCATTTTTTTCTGAACAAAATGAACTCAATTCTTCATTCAGTTAAATCGGGAAATTAACTGAAGTTAACAGGTAAGTTAAGGGGCTGTGAGGAAATTTTGACAATGACAATAAATAATCTTGCTTTGCTAACTTTGCCCTACTAAAACAGTTAGAATGTATTTTCTTAAACAGGGAAAATGATTAAGCTGTGTAAGAGGAGATTAGTTATCCAACTTATGCCTCAAACAATTATTTCAAAATAGTTTTTTTTTCTTTTTTATTCAGAGGAAATTCAGATATTCCCTCCGTCCACTCTCCTACAAATACTTCACATGGTTTAGGTGTTGATTACCTGTTAACTTTTCCATTTCCATGGATGTACAAGTGGTTTGTCACTAGAACTGCCAAGCAGAATAACAGTTCCATAATCCAATATTTGAACATTTTATTTCACGTAATGCATTCAACTAAGTCTGAAATTCAAATCTAAACTAGCTTCTAGTTCTAGTACAGACTCTTTATCCTCCCAGTTTGTATTTACATTTTTTTCTCATTACTTCACTTTTCTTCCAGTATGTTAGGGGCCACCCGGTCCTTCCACTTCATTTGTACCTATCTCCTCCTCCCAGATTTCAAAGACACCTGCTCTCTACCCACTCTTGTCTCCTCTCCAAGAGGACAATCTTTCCACTAATATTCTAGTGACTGCACGTGTTGGTATCTGAGTACTAACACAACTAATTTATGACTATTTTCTTTGCCATCACAGAGGCATTTTTTTACGCCTTTCTTTAAAACGAAAACAAAAATCTGGTTGTCTCCTTATGCAGTAATGCATACATATTGTTGTTGTTTAAAATAGCGTGTGCCTAGGTGAACTGGTTCTTTGAACTGCAATTCACATTATTTCTAAATAATAGCCTACTGATGCCTACCAAACTGTACAGAAATGCTGTTCACAAACATATTTATTTATGTTAAGGCTAGTACATAACTCTCTAGGACTCATTTCAAATGTATTTCGGAGATGAAAAACTAAAAAATAAACAAAACTAAACAAGAGCCAAAATAAAAACAAACAAAAAATTCCTATCTTAAGCCATTTTTTTCCAATACACACCAATCTTGCCTGCAGTCTTCTGAACGTACCTCTTTGTCATTGGATTTCTGTTGCTGAGTTAATACTGTCTCAACATGATAAAAGGAGCCAATACAATGAAATGGCATAACAAAACATTTTACAGCAGACACACACAGATGATTAAAGATTTAATCAACAACAACAGAAAGTTACTCTAGCTTTGAAGTATGCTTTAGCAAAACAAATCGTCCAAACAAATAACTAAAGTATACTGAAACAATTCTTTTTTGAGAAAGAACATGAGTTGCTGATGGCTGCTTAAGAAATGGAAAGAACTGTTAACTACATTTTAAGAATGTGTTTATTAAAATAAAATATGATAGGAACTGCAGAGCATGGCAATAATTTATTGTGTATGTATGTTTTCCTTTTGTCACAGGACACATGAAAGTATGAAATATTTTGCTTTCAAGCTTGTGTTCTGAATTACCTAAAGTCGATACCCAGCACACTGAGCAGGAGACATTGTTAAATTTCACTTTGACACCATCATCTGTCACCCCACCTGTACTTTGAAAAATGAACTCTAAGCAATCAAACCACTTTCTTTCATGGAAAATATTAACTGGAGTCTGCAAAAGTAACCTGCAAAGGAAAGAATGTTTTTGTAATAGTAACAACAACGCTGAACGCTGCTGTAAAGGTCCGATACAAAATAAAACTAAAAACAGTAAGAAAAGGAAAATAAATATGCAACTTTTTACACCAAATCAAGGACTCCAGAAGGATCACCATTTTGATAAAATATCAGAGCATTAAGGACATATAATAATGCTGTGTCTGAGACTTACCAACACTTGAATTCAGATCTCCATTTTCAGAGTCTGCTCCATGCTGGTTATTATTTGCATGATAGTTGGACATAGCTTCCAATTTAATTTTTTTCACTTTCATTGCTTCTGCTATGGCGGCGTTGGTGGCAGCTGCCTGCAGCTGCTGCTGTCAGGCCTGCAAAAAAGTATGAATAAAATTTAATATACATTATTCTATGATTCTTCATTATTGTAGGGACTAAGACTGTTACTCTTCCTTTATGCTTGCTACATAATGAATGGAGAACATTGCAGAGTATTATTCCTCTTGTTTGATTTGAAGTTTGTCAACTCTTTCAAGTAAAACGTTTCTCATCCTATTTAGACAGTTACTTCTATACATCCACCTAAATCTTAACTTGGTATCCAGTAACTGAAGTCATCACACAATCACAAATAGCTGGAGATACAAATACATGCTTTCAGAAATCTAACTTAGCTAGCTTCAAAATAGTGTCTTAAGTGTCTGGCTATGAATAGGTGAACACGTATATAACTGTACTTAGAAAAAAACCCCAAACCTTTAGATCTCAAATGTTTGCCATGCTAAAGAAAACAGAAAAAAAATAGGTCTATAATTTCTATTTAAGAATAACAGATGAAAGAACTCAGACATTTATTTCTCAATTCACACGTAACAGCAAGGAGATGTGGGCATTCTAGGAAGCTTTTTTAGAAGAAAGGTTAGTGATGCTGAACATCATTGGTAAAATGATGTTTTGGGTTGACGGTTGGACTCGATCTTAGAGGTCTTTTCCAACCTTAACGATCCTATGAAAATACTTATTTTACTTTCCCCAAAACTTCAAGGCATTAAGGCATTTATCAATGAGAAGAGGAATTATTAAACCCATTTAATCCCAATCCCAAAGCCATCTTCAGGCAATCCAAGTGCTCTTCCTACCAAACTAAATTTCTGCCATCCAGCCATTTACAAGAATGTTCTACAAAAACAAGAAAGTTCTCTTCGTCAAAAGCAATTAGAGAAATGGTCCGGCAATGCCTTCAAAACTCAAAATTAGATACAGTCTTTACTCAACGTCATAAGTTTTTGCCCTCTTCCCTGAGGCAGGATAATTTTTCTGCAGTCCCCGAACAGTGCTGCTACCCACTCAGACCCCTTTGCCCCAGCCTGGGTGGTAGCGGAGAGATGTCAGTGTCAAACTTCACAAGAGCTGCCTACCCCACACAACTGATCTAGGGGGCAGAGATGGAAATAAAAGAGAATTAAATGTAAGAAAATAAAGAGAAGGCATTAAACCAGGTAAGTTTTATGCAATTACGCAATCTCAGCCCTCAGCCTGTAATGCCACATGAGGAGAACAGACCCTAAGTCATTTTGAATCAAGATTCTTGCCCTGACTGTGAAGAAGGCTTGAAAAAAACCTCAGTGTAATTAGTTTAAAGGTGCCTGCTTGTCTGATTTTCAGCTATGCTGAGAGGTGTGAAGTGTCTTATGGATCTCAAGAGGAATTAACTGCACAACTTACTATTCTAGTGGGCCCAGGTTGCTGCCCAGCATAGGAAGAGTGCAATTTAGCAGGGAAGACCAAATAAGCAAATAAGCAAATAAGCAGGCTGCTGATATAAATATTGCTACCACCATTGCTTCCAAGAGCCTCTGGTTGTCTCCTTTGCCTCCTTAAAATGGAAAATGAGTTCACTCTTGCCATGTTTTCGGCTAGCAATGGGGAGAGACAGAAGGCAAAATCCATCGGGGAGAAGGCAGAAGGTGAACAGAGATCAGGAATCTCTGCCATCGCAGGGAAAACAATGAGGTGGCATATGAGGTGCCTTTGAATATATTGTGGCTTGACTCAAGGTTGTTTTCCTTTAGTTCTTTGCACGATCACATAAAGATCAGCAAACAGTTCCAGCCTTCCGACCCTCCTCACAGGCTAACTTCTAACACCTCCAAGTGCAATGAGAATTACCAAGTATGTGATAATTATGTTCTGCATAGGCAGATCAATATTATTTAGAAAACTGCTATTTCAGGTAGAAGAAGATGTACCAAAAGCCAAAAATCAAATCAGAAGGTGGATAAATACAAGGGTTTAATTTTATTTTAGCTTCTTCTACTATTACAAATTGTGCATGTTTTGATCTTAAGAAGGTATTGACAATAACATGGATTGCTTCCAATGATATTTTTACCTTAGAGGAAGGATATGAAGTTATACGTTATACAAATTTGGTTACAGTCCCTAAATTAGGCCACAGAAAAAGGGATGGTGCACCTCTGAACTTTGGTTTGCATCCTGTGCTCATTAAACAATACAATAACCTATACTTCCTTTTTTTATATACATCACTGACAAGCTAAAACTAGCATCTTTAAAGAACAATCCTTCAGAGGGATATTCAAATACGATACAACTAATGAATACAACAGTAGGCCTCAAACTTTTGGCTGTGACTGCACTTCCAAACCAGCAGTTTTTAAGTGCTTCCAAAAATACCATATTAAACAGACACTGGACATTGGGCTTGTGAGCCCACCTGTAAATATTATATCTCACTGGGGTAATGACCCGGTCGCAGAACGGCTAAAATACAAACTCGCTTTTGCTACAAAATTTGCAAAAAAGTGTACTTCAGTGCTTCTCTCCAAAGTAGGCCGTAATGCTTCTCTCTAGAGGAAGCCATAACCTTTGGATAGGGACTGGGAAACTAACATACAGATTGCTTAGTTCTGTACTACAATTTTCGCAAGACAATGTTTGTGATAATAAGTGATAATTTTAAAAAAGCAGAAAATAAACCTCTAATTTCATTCCTTCTCTCATGCAACCGCATAAGTGATTGAAATGATTACTTTGCTATACAGCAATTAATTTAAACTGTACGAATCTGCAAAGCGTGTCTCGTATAAGCACCAGTGTAAGTGGGGGGGAAATGTGAGTAAGGAATAATCCTCAGAATTATCGCTTAATGCCGTTTCTCACAGAAATTCCAGCCTACAGCACAGTTTATGCTTTACTGTTACTTTTTCCTATCCCTTGACTGTCACGATATAGCAAAGCAAGCGGTACGGAAAGTCCCCAGCCCTTTACTAGAGCCCCTTGCATTATAATCACTGGTGCGCTGTGGTATACTGTGGTATGGCACACAACAAAACTTTCTCTCTAGCACAGGGCCCGACATCTCACTTATCTCACTAGCAAAGGCAGCCAAATATATCATAAACAGAAGAGGTTAATTAGCTGCTATGTATCTATAAATATATTTTAAAATTCTAAACTTTAAAGTTCAGGTGTGGGTATATACGTGGGTAAATACTTGGGATTTTTTTTAAATTGGTTGATCGAGAAAGCCTTTTGACCTAAACATTATTTAATATCACTTTACTCTTACAACAAGTAGCCAGGGAATTTCTGAGGTGCACACTTTTCTACACTACAGAAATTTTATCTTTAAATATGAGATAACCAGAAGTCACCTATAAAGGCAACTGAAATGAAAGAAATAAGGATCACACCGAACAGCCACTTATTTTTTTTTATTCTTTACAAATATTGATTTCAACAGTTCAAAAGTATCCAGGCCAAAATATTCAGTGGATTAAAGTCAATGGTAGTTGTCATTAATATTCTGAAATTGATAAGTTGTTTATGTCTGGCATTCTTCCTGCTGATTATGCAGTGAGACAGGCAGCTTTATAAATATCTCATCACTCCATCGTCACACAAATTTCATCGACAGTGCTCATGCACAGCTATTAGCAATATGAATCTAACCATTACAAGAGGAAAGAAAATCGAACATGTGGCATTAATACGCAGTCCTGGTTCCTAACCATCTGATAGGCAGATGGTGTAAAGCGGATTCTCCAGCTGAAATGAAGGGGCACATCATTTAAAACCTTGTTTGCATTCTAACTGATATCAGTGCCATATTGATATACATGATACATCATGGCAGTATTTGAACAATCTAGTTTGTTTCAGTCATAAATGTTTACAGCCTTGTTTTTTATCTTTAGAGGCATGTTCTGAAGAGCGTATTTTTAATTTATGAAACCTATTGTTTACTTCTGTTGAACCAGAAGATTAGCGAAGAGCAGGAATATTAAATTACCACAACCACAGCAGTATAACTAAGATGGATGAATAAAGTATGGTTTTTCAATAAAAGATGTTAGTAAAGGAATTAAAAAATTAGCCTAGACATTTTATGCATTAAATACATTTATTCATTTAAACCTTACAGCTTTTTTCCCTTGTGACATACTTAGAACTTTAATGCTTTATAAAGCTATTCATTTAAATCTCTTACTGCGTGCAATTAATCTTGTCCAACAATTTAATTCAAAAAGCAAAACATCAGAAAGAAAAGTTCAATTCAACCATCATGCTTCTGAAGTAATCTCTATATTGCTGACAGTTCCTATAGACTCATCAGCAAAAGTCTGTTCAAGGTGTCTTGTAGGAGCCATATGAATTTGAATTACAGCTCAATTGAAAGCTCTCCAAGCCTTAGTAGGAACTCAGGAACAAGAAGCAGAACACCAAAAGAAAGCGTGAATGATCCTCTCCTAAAAGACCTTCTCTCTTCTGTCACTAGATTACTTTGGCCTGTTGGGTGTGTTTGTAGCTGTTAATTATGTTAATAAAGTTGCAGCCTGCTGCCTCTGCCAAATATAATCGTAAGCTTTCTCCTGCCAAGTTCTAGTCTAATTTACACCCGTGCAACTCACTGAAGTCAGAATTCCGTGGGTGAGAATGAGACCAGAAGTATGCCCAGTATGTGTGGTCTCCAATGCTGAAAAATGAGTGAATGAAACAGAAAACAATGACAAAAAACATAGCATCTTCAGAAAACAATTCTGTTTTAAAAGCAAAACGCCCGAGCGAGCTGTCATATATCATGACAGATTTTCAAAATGTGTACAAATTACTGGTGGGCACTAAATCACATCCAGGGTTTCTGCCTTCCAACAAATACTATTCCCTGCCTTAAGAGAGAGCTCTTAAAAGATTCAGTTTTGATGGCACAAGCAGCTTACAACACACCCTATTTGTGAAGGAAAAAAGAAAAGGACCTATGAGCTTAACTTTTTCAGCCTCAAATATGTCTCACAATACACACTTTTGAATTGTATGTCTAAACTTGGTCCTGGGACAACTTACAAAA